ACTAGCCTGGTGGTTGACAAACGAAGTAAGCTTCTCACAGACTTTTGCCAATCATAAAGTGTCATACATTGTCTTGAGGTTGTTGAGGTGGATACCGACCTAAGAATAAAATAGATTAAATTTTGAACAACTATTGAAGAATATTTACCTTGTCGTTGCAGCCAGGAAGTTGATGAATGATACGGATTTACACATCCAGTAGGACCTGACATAGAAATTTCTATTCAAGCGTTCTTTATAAGAAACGAGAAAGGCCCGAGACAGATAAGGACTGTTTTTGAGCCATCCTCAGTTTTCCTCTGTTTATGAGTTATCTAAAGCAGATAAATGGATAATTTATTCATGGAACAGGGACTCGCATAAATATTTCCACACGAATACATTTTCAACTGAAAATGATGTCAATCGACTACCCATTCTATAGTCTATTTCTGATAAAAGTTTCACCTTGAACGACTTAATCTGCTGACTGTTTTCTCAATATTTCGATTAAAGGAAAAAGATATCATGGATTTTTGCTTGATTTTGAAAAACTGAATTCAGAAGTGGCTTTTGTTTAAAAAAGATTATTTGAGGTTCGTTTAGACACCATTGTCACGCATTTTTCACCGGTCTTCAATAGATATCGGTTGGAAAACGTACAGTTTGAGTCAAAACTAACAACATATTTGGAATCTGCATAAAAAGCTGAGTGGACTTACATATTTGAAAACTTGTCTTTGAACTTTTTCTGCTCGAAAAATTCAGTCGAGTTTCTCCTCAAAGATAAGCCAACAAAATAAATTTAATAAATACACAATTTTTATTGTTTATTTATTTGTTATTTTGTGTCTCACTGGCGCGATCCAGATGAATTTTTCAAGAACAAAAGTTCGTCGAAAAACTTAGAAATATATACATAGAAAATCGACTTAGTTTTCTATGCTGATTCCACAGATGTTAGTAGTTTTGAATAAACAAACATAGTACTCCGAACGTTTGAGTCACATAGAAACATGCGAATTCATTGTTTATTAGTTCATCCTTCGATAATTCATTATGAAATTGAACTTGGAATTTTTGTTTTCAAACATTTCTCGACTATTAGAATATTTTTATTTTTAAAAATTATTCTCAGATGTGTGAAAATCTTCTGGGATGACTCTTGTTTTAGAAGGGTGTGGGTGTGAGTGTGCATAAGTCAAGACCAAGGCACGCACACACACACCCCACCCTCACCCACACCACACCCACACCCACGCTCACCAACACTATGGGTGAGAAAGTTATTGTTATTTTTTTGTTATTAATAACAATAACATTAGCCTTTTGATTCAAAAAAAATCATTGAAAAAAATCTCAGCATAGTTCATACGAACATCAAAGGATCACTTTATTCATACAGTATATTTTCCTACCATTTGATATAAGAACTTGTAAAGATTTTGAGAAACAGTAACACAACATAATTTGTTATTGTTATTGTTATATAGCAATAACAATAACAAATTACGTTATGTTAGCATTTCTCATAATATTTACGGCAAGTTCTCATATCAAATGGTAGAAACAGATACTATATGAATAAAGTAATCCTTTGACGTTCGTACGAACTATACTTCGACTTATTTCATTGATTTTTTCGAAAAAAACCGTTAATGTTATTGTTATTAACAAAAAAAAAAACAATAACTTTCTCACCTCTAACCCACACCCCACACACCCAAACTCACACCCCATACTCACGCCCACACCCCACCCACACCAACACCCACACCCACACCCACACC